GGGATTAAGGAGGTCCTCGAAGTATTCCTTCCACCGCCTGACAATTTTCTCAGTCTACGTCAGCAACGTCTGAATAAGGGAGTAAAGAGCGAACGGTACATTTTGCACACATTGGATGACATAACTCCCAAGTTACTTTGGATGCCTCCAGTGGGTTCTGGCAAATACCACTGGACCCCGGCTGCCAAAAACTGACCACGTTCATAACTCCCATGGGCAGGTTTTGCTTCAGATGCCTGCCATTTGGCATAACTTCAGCACCCGAGATCTTCCAGCGGCTCATGAGCACCTTGCTCAAGGGCCTAGATGGGACTGTCGTCGTGATGGACGACATACTGGTTTTCGGGGCGAACAAAGAGGAGCATGACCAACGCTTAGATGCAGTATTACAGACAATCAGGCCTTAAGCTCAACAGGTCCAAGTGCCACTTCGGAAAGAATAAGCTACAGTTCTTCAGTCACATCATCAGTGCGGATGGTGTGAAACCTGATGATGGCAAGGTGGAGGCTATTGCCAGGATGCCCAGCCCCACCAATGTAGAACAACTCAGGCAGGTACTCGGATTAATAAACTATGTTGGAAAATTCCTGCTGGGCCTGTCCACAGTGCTCCTCAGGAGCAAGCATTGAACAAAGCAAAAGCAATGCTCGTGGCTGCCCCAGTACTTTGTTATTATGATGCAGGCCGACCAACAGTTGTCAGTGCGGACGCCAGCAGCTATGGCCTGGGTGCTGCACTGTTACAGGACCATGACGGGGAGTTACGGCCTGTTGCTTTTTGTTCTCGCACACTCACAGACGCAGAGAAAAGATATTCGCAGATCGAAAAAGAATGTTTAGCATCTGGGTGCTACCCATCCGAGACAGACAGCCAGGTCAAGGCATATGTGAGCAACATAGTGACAAGCAAACCTATCAAGTCACATAAGTTGGAGGAAATTCGTAGAGCTACGCAGAGGGACCCAGAGCTTCAAAAAGCAATCATCTTCATCAGACAAGGGTGGCCTTGGAGAATGGCAAAGAGCTTACCACTGCAAGGCTTTTATGCAGCCAGAAACCACCTTTTAGAATCAGATGGTCTAGTGCTCTACCACGATCGCATTGTAATTCCCACAGCACTCAGACCCAGTGTCCTT